TCTTTCTTTCTTTCTTTCTTTCTTTCTTTCTTTCTTTCTTTCTTTCTTTCTTTCTTTCTTTCTTTCTTTCTTTCTTGCCTACCACCACTATAATTATTTACAAATCCATTTTGCATCCTTTCATTTGCAGAATATGCACACTAGTAGATTTATCCACTGGGTAGGATTTGTTTTGTTGTGCTGGAATGGAGGAGGGCAGTACCACAGATCTGCCTTTGCTATCTTCCCCACTTATAATTTAAAAGCACTTCAGAACACATACATTGTAATCAGTGTTGTTTATTTTAGTATTTCTAGCTTGCTATGATTTCTAACAGCTTTGATTGTAAGTAAAAGCAAAAAGCAGCAGTGCTATTCCATTACATTCTTCCTGTGCAGCTGCCAAAGTGGGGTGTTTTCAAGGTCATGCTTTATGTGGGCAAAATGGCTTGATCACATCCCCAAAAGCTGTTAAGCTGGGAGAGGGAACCAGCCAAGAAAATCAACCAAACGTTCTCACCTGACCTGCACTCACTGAGTTAATCAGAGAACCAGAATGAAACTGCAGTAAATGGTTTTAGAAATCTTTTCCCACTTCCTGCTAAGAATCATGTGGTCATAGTTTTTACACCTGGGAGGAAGGGTGGGTAACTTTAAAAAAAAAATCAGATGAAATGTTAGCATTTATTTGAATAGATCAACATATTATTGTGTCTTTCAGACCGTGGGCCTTGGTAAAAACCTGTCTCTTAGGAAACACATATTTTCACAACCATATTATAAACTGTATATCTTGACTTATTCAAATTCATATCTTTTTTGACTCTATGGGCTTTCATTAGAATTGCTGGAGATAGTTTTATGTTTCATTCAGTTGGGTGTAAAATCAGTTATAGTATTAAAATATTGAGGTTTGTTAGCTGATAAATGAATGATTTTTTATTATTATTCTTTTCAACTGGTAGAGTAGCAGAACAATTCTTTGGTAGACAAATAACTAGCAATGAGCATCATAGTGAGATATGAAGCCATTGATAGCAAGGAATTCCAATTATTATTATTTTTAACAAAAATCATGGGGAAAAAATTAAAATATTATGAGTTAAGAACAAGCAATTCTAAAGAATCGTAGTGCTCCTTTCACTTTCATTCCTCCACAAATGCAATGTAACTTGTGTTTTTGCTCTTTTAGGAACAATATCGTTTCTGCTATGATGTCGCACTGGAGTACCTTGAATCGACTTAATATGAAAGGATAAATACAATCAAGTGAACCAAATAATATGAAATTTAATAAACTGTGTTTTGGCATCAGCTGTTGAATCTATGAAGAAACGTTTTAGTGAAGGGGAGACTTAATTTTTAAATGCAAAAGTATTTTTCTTAATAAATGGTGTAAATATATCTATGGACTGTTCTTCTATTCCTGTATACCATCTGAATATAATACCACAAAAATAAATAAGAGTCAAGTCAGAGCACATCTGCTATACAAAGTTGAACTTTTCAATGTTTGCATATTCAGCTGTCTCTCAGCTATGTTAGACCTGTCATCTGTTGCATGTATCTATTCTAGTGAATATTTTATTTCACTTTTGCCCTTAATTTCATACTGTTAAAAGTTTTTAAAAATACTGTGCAGATTGATAATCTATAGGTTTCGTGTGCTGCAAGAATATATATATGGAGAGAGATACAGCCACACACACTACACACATTTTTACAAAACGGCTTATTTTGTTTTCCTGTGCAATGACAGCCTGATCAAAGTTCTTTATAAAGAACTCCAAACATAAGCCAAAGACTCAAGTGTAAATATGTTTATATGGGAAAGAAAGCACATTGTATTTATTGTTTACTGACATTCCTTGTAGGATGGTTGGACACAACCATTTTTTCTTAGAAACATTGTTGCTGAAATCAAGTGTAAATGATTTTTGTAGATTATTTTTTGTATGTATTGTGTAAGTAGAAGGAGAGAGAATGAAAATACCTTTTATGGATAAACCAGAAGACATTGATACACTTTTT